CTTGACTCTTGCGAAAAACGGGCGCCCAAGCATAAATAGTTAAAAAGTAATGGTGAATTAGGCATAGGCACTTGAAAACTGTGTTCGGCCACCTTAAAAGCGCGAGAACTTTATTTGTACTGGTTGGAGGGAGCTGAAATCGTTTGTCTGTATCAGTGAGTGAGTGCTTCTGAGAGCCATCGCTATTTGAAGAATCAATATTGCTAGCAAGTTTTGGACCGATAGTAGCAAAGTGATCATTAAATTGGTTCGACAACACAGCAGGATTTGTTATCACGTTCAACGGACCATACTTACAACATCATCGACTGACAAACACTATTCACTTGACTCTGAAGATGACTTCCGCTCAGGTTGTCGAAACGTCAGTCACCAACAACAGNTATGGTAGTCAGTATTTCAGTGGACTTAAAAAGAAAGAAAATGTTCCTAATAAAAGCAGTGTTCATCTTGATTTTTGATGTTGTGCTCTAGCTGTTGAAATCTATTTCAAGCATGTACGAAATAATTATTTATTATAAAACGATTTTACCAGCGAACGAATTCAAGCACCTAAAGGGTGTCAATAAACAGCCATATTTGGACATCAAAACCTACCCATCACATTTGACCAACTGATGTTCCTTTTCCTGTTTTCCACTGCAGTACCAAAAACAAATCTACAATGATCAATTCCTCTCCTCTTTATATTCAACTACGTTTTCTACATTCATCCAATAGGCCATTCCCGAGTTGCCTTTTGCCTCTATGTCAAAACGAGTTTAAGTACAAAACCATTCATATGACTTTCGCCTACAGGTTCATTCAACTCATTTTTATGTGAAAGGTTTCGCACAGACTCGTTTTGAAACGGAGGCAAAAGGAAACGTTCATCCATGAGCTGCTCACAGGAGCCTTTGATTTAAAAACGTGTCCAGTCACTTGGATCATTAGATTTACTTGCTTTAAGGAATCAGCCACCCTTCAGGACCGTCCGCGCGCGGATCGCTTCACCGCTTTCGTTTTTCATATAAACCCCTACAAACCACACATTTTCTGAAAGCTTAGTAGTTCCAGATTATGGCTCATTCCTTTAAAAATCTCGAAATCGTAAGCGATAGCGTAATTGTGACGTTTTCTGCGAAAGCATATGTCTGTGTAAATTCAACTCCAGCCCCGCTAAGAATGAGCGGAAGAGAACGATAAACATCGCATTTGCTTCTTGACAAGTTCTACTAAAAAACCGTGTCTCAGATTTTTGACACGTGCATTTGTTCTTTTTTAACAATAGGATAAAGTCAGAGGAGACAAATCATCAGCAGTTCCTTTGAAAAAATGACGATTATGCGAAAACGGAAAAAGAAAACAAAAATCGCAGACACGGGTTTCGAAGAAAACCATCTGACAATAAGGTGGCCAAATTTCAGCCAAATGGGTTCAGGGGCTACCGACTTGGAGTTAAAAACGTACGCTTAAATTTCCGAAATTTTCGATCCGAGAAAAAAAGAAAAATATATTTTTTGCGGCATCTTACCTGCAATAGAATTATAATGCCTAAAGGTCCATGTTGATGTCTACCAGAGAGGTATCCTCTTGTAATAACAATAGGCGTTTGACAGGTAATATGCAGCAGGCCAAATCTTTACGCGGGACCTGGCGGGAATACACTGTATCTTCCGGTCAAATACAAATTACAATTATCAGAGGTTAGTTAATTCAAAATTCTCGTTCCACGTATACAGATAGACCGGGAAAACTAAAAACCTTTGAGGCTGCCGCGCGACCGCCACCGATAGCTCGAAAGCCAAGAACCGATGCACGATTTATCGCGAACGTCCTGCTTTTTTCCGTCGTCGGAAATGCAAGATTAGTTTCGTGCGACGGACAGCTTTCGTTCTGGCACTGAAGCATCCAAGTGGCACCAAGTCAATTTTTACTTACTAAATTTTCCACAAGCTCAACGTTTCCTTGACAAAAGCAACAAGTCACCGATTCGTTGATCTTCTCCTGCTGTCTTTCACCGGCTACGATAGCGTGGCCATGGAGCTTTTGCCATATTTCAGTGTTTTCGCCTTTCAGATCTGCAAGAGGTTCTTCAACCGTAATTTTTTGATTGGCTTGCACTTAATGTTGATGTGGAAACCGACGGGTCGCATTCGGCGCTTGGCTGCTCGTTCAACTCCTTCAGCCATTGCTCCTGGTCAAAGTAAGAGCCTTTATCACTTTTCGCTAATTTTTCAGCCCAATCCGAGCTAAACGATTTTTTCAGTTTCTTCCGCCTTGCCGTTGCAGACGAAAACGGACACGACCTCTTCTTTTTTTGCGAAGGCATTTGAACCAATCTAGCGAATGCACTGCATCATAAAATGAAACCACGATACCATGTGATTTGTTTCGTGAGGTGTTGACATACAAGTTACTCCAAAATGACAGGACTTGTCAACGGATAATTGAAACAATTAACGTGTAACAAACTTCAACGTCCAATAACTTTGCACTGAAATAATATTTTTTTGTGGAATTTCTATTAAAAGAAACCTCTTGAAAAGCTTTATCTAAACGTCCCGAAATCCCAAATTTTGAATCCTGACTGATACCTTAAGTTTTAGAATATCCCGATCATGCATTTGTTTCTTAAGCTCAGATGCAATCTATGGGGAACCACGCGTGCGAACACGCACTGTTCTCAATGGAGCATACCTTTTAACAATAGATAGAAACGACCATTTCCATTGTAGCCACATTTCACTGGGATTAGTTGAAGTATATATCTTTAAAATTTTATTGTATATTGTTACTTCTTATCTATTTTTAGCTATCACTATTTATTCAGCCATTGTCTTAATTATGTAGGATTATGTATTACGTAGGATTTTATTAATTTATAATTTTAGATAGTGCAGGTCCACATCAGGACTTAGCATCTTGCCAATTTTGATCTCCAGCCTGCTTTATCAAATAAATTATGTATGTATGTATGTATCTGATCCTTTCCGAAATTTTTTCGATTGAATTTTCGAAGGTTCCTATAGATTATTTAAGCAATAGACCACAAGTTTTTATGGTTTATAGGCAGATAAACCACTTGGGATGTTGGAAGAACACGAGAAGAATTCGTAAATCACGAGCCGCTAATAATTCAGAAGACACGCGAAATTTCCATGAGTTTACTGGCACAACAAACCATAGCTGATTGACCAATCAGAGCGCGCGCATTGATTTGATTATTATATAAAGCATTGTGCCCACCAGATATTCCATTCATGGATAATTTTCTATAGGCACAAACTATGCTATGGTCGCTAATACTGATATGACGGACCCCCGAGCACACAACTTTATCTGGACAATTACATCAATCAAAGTTGCAGGCGTCGGAGTTATCCTGGTTGGTTCATTTATAAGTTGCTGTAGTCCATTATGTTGTACTGTATCCAGTCAGATCATTCTTACATTGACGTTTGCTGTTTCGTTCGTATCGTGCAAAGTGTTTTCCTGTGATGATTTTTGACATATTTCCACAACTTTCTGAGTGCGGGAAGGCCTAAACACATGGCAAATGTTGCCGCATCAACTTGCACCCTCTCATTTTATTAGAATTTGATTTCCTACCCTCTACCCTTTCCATTTTTTCTTTGCTCCGCCTCCCTTCCCCTCAACAATCCAAACTTTTACCCGCCTCTCAGGCCCTCGGAAAAGCCGCGTGAACTAAACGGATGCTACGCAGAAACCAATATAATTGAGGCTGGATTTTTTTGAACAGGAAGTTGTCAAAGGATGAGAATATATTCATTAAGTTAGTTAACATCTTTATTCTTACTCATGAATTTCGCTACTGAAAACTATGAATCACAATCTCGTTAATTCGTTGAAGGATGTCACTTCTCACCGTTTTTGAGGCCAATTCGGAGTGAAGCATGGAAGGGGTTCTCTCCGCCTCGCTCCACCAAATCCCTCTCGTCAGCTCCATGCTGTAGAAGAATCACTGCCAGGTCCAACTTGCCCTTCTCTAGGCACACTGACAGCGGCGACTTACTGTTTTTTGGGAGACCTTTCGCATGGGCGTTCTGTTGCAGGAGAATTATTACTAGTTCCTCGCAGTTTTTCACATCAGATTCCAACACCATGTCGAGTGGAACACAAGAGGCATCGCATTTTTCCGCCCAGCCCTCACAGAAGAGCACGGACAGATTCTGAACGGCTCGACTGGCTACACACTCGCTGATTAACTTCTGAACGAAACATTTGGGGACAGGGCATCCAGCTTTGAAGATTTCAAATGCTGTACAAGAAAAGCATATTGAATATGTAACATATCAAATACGAGAGACTGTGTTTTGCCACAATTCAATCGAGAAGACAGTTACAAATACCACGTGTAGCGGAGTATTTTTGACGAACCTCGAGAACATCAGGATATCAACCGGAAAGTTATAAATTTTAAACAAATTTTGTTCAACATTGAGATAAGCCTAAAAATGCATGCAGTAACAAAAAAGGCAGATTTGACGAAATTTTGTTGACGATATTGACGGATTTGACAAAATTTGTCAATCTGTGGAAATTTGTCAATAGTGCAAATCTGACGAAATTTCGCCAAACCTGCTGACAAAATTATACAAGTCGATAGAGATAACTTAAATAGAAGGGCCCCAAAAATCTGACGAAATTTCGCCAAGGTTGCTGACAAAGTTATAAGAATACACAATCCCCAAATTCCCCAATATGTTAGGACCGTATCTGATGGGGTAATTTGCATAGTTATGGCTGGCGAAAAGTCGGCTAATTTCGGCAAATCAGCCAATTTCGTTACTGCGTACGTTTCTGAACAGAATTTTCAACACTGCAACGTTCTTATTTTGAACTGGTTAGAAAACGAGGGCAGCAGATTGAGAGAACAATGACATGTTAACAGGACCTTTCAAGTGAGCAAAGTAGTGGCAAAGTACTGCCAGGAGGGTGACAGAAATGCAAACTAGTGAGACAATCTCAGATAGTGCAGAGTGTAAAGCATAGCTCTGACGCAGTNCGAAGATGGTTTCTTGTTCGATCTGTAGACAGGGATTCCTTCGTGGGTTGAAAAATGGAAAGTTTTTACGCTAAGGAACACTTACCACGGCATATCGACAATGAAATCCTGTAAGCGACGATCCTTGCATCGAAATCTTGAAAGCTACCTAAATGTCTATCGACCGTGGTCCGTGGACAAATCGACGGAATCGTTTTAAAATGTTTTTAATGTCACCCGAAGGAAGAATGAAATGAATGCCGTGTCATATGGAAGCTAAGGTAAGCCTTCTTGTTGTATCGTTTTTTTCTTTAAAAACTATGTCTATGAGAGCACTTTTGCGTACTAGTAATATTAGATTCTTTCGTTCGGAAACTGCTCGATTTCGAAAGTAGTCATCTGACAAAGCACATGGTTTTCTAGACACAAAAGAGCTGACGTTCGCCATTTTTTGTCATTGTTAGATGTTGTCTTTACAGAGTTGATTTCTGTCTGTTGGCGATTTATATTATCGATCAGTACTATGGATGTAGTTTGTACTGGAAATGCTGAGGAGCAACTTCAGAATACCAGGCCACTTTATTTACATGTGCCGGTGTTCTTTGAAGAACGAGGTATATAACAATAGTTGCTATTCTTATTCAATGAGATGGAGAACAAGTCTCTTGTGTATATATTCAGCCTCGTGTAGCTTTGAAGAAGCTTACGTCGAGTTCAAAAGTTAAAAGTGAAATGAGCAGAATAAGAACACAAGCAAGCCTTGTTCCTTTGGCAGACTATTACAGACCGACAATTCATCCCAAACAAGAGGATCTGTTAGATCTTATAACCGCGCTTTTAAAATTTAACTGTTTTCTTAGCACTACAGTCTCAACGCATTGCACATTCCAAAGCAATCCTTGATGATTCATTGATTACTGTAGACACCACCTCACTTGATCGACACAAACTCTATTATTGCACCATCAGTCGTAGCCCTTGAGAAATCTTCGATGACGTAATAGTCTTAATCTGGAACTTTCTTCGGGACATGTGTGGGCATGAAGATACGAACATTATTAACTACAGCTTTCTTTCTTAAAAGTCACGATGAAATTTAATTGTTTTTCCCTTGAGTAAAGGGCTAGCAAAGAAGTCACACGAGTCACATAATTCAAGAATTGTGTTATCCACAGCTATCTTTAGTACGGCGGTTATTTCCCTACCAATGACGTAGTCCTTGCATGTTTTGACATGTTCCTTGCTTGGTTTGCAAATATTTAATTTTTCTTCCGATCTATGAATTCGCTGCGATGAAACAGCCAAAGAATTGACTTCATTTGCCTAAAACCACAAGAAATACTTGCAAAATTGCAAATAAATTAATGACCCTCGCTTCTCACGAAATAAACTTGCAAAGTAAACACGATCTTATTTGTCACATAGCGAAAGTGAGGTAATACCTTTTGGCTGAGGTAATACCTTTTTTTAGCGTATTTATTATTCCTTTTGAATCCAACGCTTCGATAAAACCAAAAGAAAATTTAGTCTATACACAATAAAGAAAACAATATCCGCAACATTGTCCTTGTATTAATGTTTTAATAGCTTTTGGCAAGTAAACATCACAGGTTGCGTGACTCAAAATTTGGCCGAGTAGAAGTTTGGGTCTGGTCACCAACAAAACTAAAAAAAACAAGATCTGTTAGATCTTATAACCGCGCTTTTAAAATTTAACTGTTTTCTTAACACTACAGTCGCAACGCAGTGTACATTCC